ATCATCTTCATCACATACCAGCATCATCTTCATCACATACCAGCATCATCTTCATCACATACCAGCATCATCTTCATCACATTGAGCTAAATAAGATCAAATCTGCTGACTCGTGTTGTAAAATGAGACATTTTCCTGTTTATCTTTTTAATAAATCCATAACACAAACAGATTTTCTGACATTATTTAAAACATTAGATAGATTATATAAACTTTAAAATATTAATAATAATTGGATTAATATTATTATTAATAGTTTTAATGATTTCTACATGGTCAGTCCTTTTTATCTGCTCTGTCACCAACATGTACAGTAATGATAAATCCAGACTTTTGACCATTTAGCATTAGCCGTTAGCTTCACCTGACGATCACATGGTCACCTGGCACATGAACTCCAGTTGTTCTATAGGACCTCCTTGGTTCCGACCCATCAGCACCATCAGCCAATTATCTGGAAGGTAACAGGAAACCATCATTTATTGTTTGAATTTGAAGGAAAAGAGAAGCATCGAAGAAACGAGGTGAGACCAAACTTCATTTTCACTTCATCAGACTATAAATGACCGTAAACACCTGAGAGATCTGAAACATGTCGTGTCAAAGTGCTGCTGACTGAAGATATCTAAAATATTCACAAAGAAAGTAAAGAATCTTTCTGTAGGCGGGAAACCCACATCCTGTTGTAATGTTGTCTTCTTTGTTTCAGCTTCACTCTGAGTCTGAATGGATCTCTGCAGTCTGCACTCTGAGAYGCTCAGACTCTTCTGTCTGGACCATCAGGAACCAGTTTGTCTCGTCTGCAGAGATTCTGAAAAACACAGCGACCACAGATTCAGACCTGTGGATGAAGCTGCAGAAGATCTCAGAGAGGATCTGCTGACATCCCTTCAACCATTAAAGCAGAAACTGGAGGTCAAAAATAAAGTTAAATATAAGTTTGATCAGACAACAGAACACATGAAGGTCCAGGCCCGACACACAGAGAGGCTGATTAAGGAGCAGTTTAAGAAGCTTCACCAGTTTCTAACAGAGGAAGAGGAGGCCAGGCTGGCTGCACTGAGGGAGGAAGAGGAGCAGAAG